CCCAGAGTGCTAGGATTACAAGCATGAGCCACCATGCCCGGCCCCAATTTCATTCTTTTACTTGTATTTAGTTTTCCCACAATCATTTACTGAAAACTCTCCTTTTCTCATGGAATGGTCTTGGCATCCTGTGGAAAGTAATTTGACCATTTACTATGCATATACTATAGTATACATACACTGCTAATACGGTGTTTATTTCTGGACTCCTTATTCTGTTCCATTAGTCTATATGTCTGTCTTTATGCCAATGCCACATTGTTTTGTTTACTGTAGCTTTGTAATATGTTTGAAATCAGGAAGTATGTGATCTCCAACTTAGTTCTTCTTTTTCAAGATTGTTTCAGCTATTCAGGGTCCCTTGAAATTCCATATGAATTTTAGAAAGGATTTTTCTATTTCCACAAAAAATGCCATTGGGATTTTGATAGGCATTGCATTAATCTGTAGATCAGTTTGGGTAGTAGTGACACCTTAACAATATTAAATATTCAAATCCATGAACATGGGTTGTCTTTCCATTTATTTGTGTCTTCTTTAATTTCTCTCAGTAACATTTTGTAGTGAAAACTACAAGTGTACATGTCTTTCATCTTCTTGGTTAAGTTTATTCCTAAGTATTTTATTATTATTTATAATGTACTGTGAATATTTTATCATTTTTGATGCTATTATAAGTGGCATTTTCTTAATTTCCTTTTCAGACTGCTATGTCAGTGCATAGCAAAGCAACTGATTTCTGTGTGTTATTTTCTGTCCTTAAACTTTGATGAATTCTTTAGTTTTAAAAGTGTGTTTGTGTTTATATGTAATCTTTAGGGTTTTTTTATATACAAAATCATGTCATCTGTGAAAAGATAATTTTACTTCATGCTTTCCAATTTTTCTTGCCTAATTGCTGTGTGTAGAACTTCTAGTACTATATTAGCTAGAGGTGGTGAAAGTGGGCATCTTTCCCTTGTTACTGATCTTAGAAGAAAAAATTTCAGTCTTTCACCATAAAGTATGATAATACCTGTGGGCTTTTCATATATGGCTTTTATTATGTTGAAGAGGTTTCTTTCTCTTTCTAATTTGTTGTGTTTTTATCATGAAAGGGTATAGAATTTTGTCAAATGCTTTTCTATATCAATTGAGATGCTCATGTGTGTTTTTTTCTGTCTTTCTGTTAATTTGGTGTATTACATTGATTGATTGACATATGTTAAACCATCCTTGCATTCCAGGAATAAATCACATTTGGTTATAGTGTATAATGCTTTTAATGTGCTTTTTTTTTTTTTTTTTTTTGAGACAGAGTCTCACTTTGTTGCCCAGGCTAGAGTGAGTGCCGTGGTGTCAGCCTAGCTCACAGCAACCTCAAACTCCTGGGCTCAAGCAATCCCCCTGCCTCAGCCTCCCAAGTAGCTGGGACTACAGCCATGTGCCACCATGCCTGGCTAATTTTTTCTATATGTATTAGTTGGCCAATTAATATCTTTCTATATAGTAGAGATGGGGGTCTCGCTCTTTCTCAGGCTGGTTTTGAACTCCTCACCTTGAGCGATCTGCCTGCCTCGGCCTCCCAGAGTACTAGGATTATAGGCGTGAGCCACCGCACCTGGCCTTAATGTGCTCTTGAATACTGTTTGCTGGTATTTTGAGTTTTTTTTTGTTTTCCCTCAGAGATGTTGCTCTGTAGTTTTCTTTCTTTCTATTTTTCTTTTCTTTTCTTTTCTTTCTTTTCTCTTTCTTTCTTTTTTCTTTCTTTCTTTCTTTCTTTCTTCTTTCTTTCTTTCTTCTTCTTTCTCTTCTTTCTTTTTCTTTCTTTCTTTCTTTCTGCCTTTGTCTGGCTTTGTTATATGCTGGCCTCAAAGAATGAATTGGGAAGTGTTTCAATTTTCTGAGAGACTTTTGAAGGAGCAGGTAGTATTTTTTCCTTGACCACTGTGCTATATGTTAGCTTGTATTGTTATTATTCATTACGTGACTTAGCAAACTTTGTCTCTGCTCTTCCATGTTCCTCACTTAAATTATTATTTGCTGCAACTGCATCACCTCTGTTTCTGATTGCAGTATTTCTAGTACTAATATCTGATTACTCCTTTTGCATGATGATTTGTTTTTGTTTTTTTTATTTTTTTTTTTTTTTATTTTTTTTTTTTAAAGTAGAGACGGGGTCTCGCTCTTGCTCAGGCTGGTTTTGAACTCCTGACCTTGAGCAATCCGCCGCCTCGGCCTCCCAAGAGCTAGGATTACAGGCGTGAGCCACAGCGCCCGGCCTTGCATGATGATTTGATTTGCAAAATCCAAATCTTACACTTTTTTTTTTTTTTTTTTGAGACAGAGTCTCACTTTGTTGCCCAGGCTAGAGTGAGTGCCGTGGCGTCAGCCTAGCTCACAGCAACCTCAAACTCCTGGGCTCAAGCAATCCTTCTGCCTCAGCTTCCCGAGTAGCTGGGACTATAGGCATGCGCCACCATGCCAGCTAATTTTATATATTATATAGTATATATATATATAAACATATTATATATATATTGTGTGGTTAGTTGGCCAATTATTTTTCTATTTATAGTAGAGAGGGTGTCTCACTTTTGTTTAGGCTGGTTTCGAACTCCTGACCTCAAGCAATCCACCCACCTCGGCCTCCCAGAGTGCTAGGATTACAGGCATGAGCCACCGCTCCTGGCCAAATCTTACTCTTATTGTAAAAAATATAGAGTTCAGTTTGTCAGAAGCAAAATGATAAAGTTGGGAAGGAAGAACCAGTGGCTCTTAATTCTGTTAGATTTACTATGCCCTTTTAAAGTATTTTTTAACATCCATTTATTACTATAACATGAATATCATAAACCAACTCATACTTTTAAATAATTAACACAAATGTGACAGTAAGTAAAAAGAAAGTGATTTATATAACATGCACTTCAATATGTAAATCCGCGGGCGTAGTGGCTCACGCCTGTGATCCTAGCACTCTGGGAGCCGAGGCGGGCAGATTGCTCGAGGTCAGGAGTTGAAATCAGCCTGAACAAGAGCGAGACCCTGTCTCTACTATAAAATAGAAAGAAATTAATTGCCAATTAATATATATATATAGAAAAAATTAGCCAGGCATGGTGGCACATGCCTGTAGTCCCAGCTACTGGGAGGCTGAGGCAGGAGGATCACTTGAGCCCAGGAGTTTGAGGTTGCTGTGAGCTAGGCTGATGTCACGGCACTCACTCAAAAAAAAAAGAAGAAAAAAAAAATGTAAATTCTAGGTCAAACTTTGCTAGTGATAGAAAGGCTCACATCTATATGGAGAATTAAAATAAATATGAAAGATACAGGGCCAGGTGTGGTGGTTCATGCCTGTAATCCCACCACTCTGGAAGGCCGAGGCGAGAGGATCACTCAAGGTCAGGAGTTCAAGATCAGCCTGAGCAAGAGCGAGACTCTGTCTCTACTAAAAATAGAAAGAAATTAATTGGCCAACTAAAACTATATCGAAAAAATTAGCTGGGCATGGTGGCACATGCCTGTAGTCCCAGCTACTTGGGAGGCTGAGGTAGAAGGATTGCTTGAGCCCAGGAGTTTGAGGTTGCTGTGAGCTAGGCTGACGCCACAGCACTCTAGCCTGGGTAACAGAGTGAGACTCTGTCTCAAAAAAAAAAAAAAAAAAAAAAAATGGAAGATACAAATGTAGGCTGCTTCAAATCCAGCTTTATTGTACTACCACTAAATACTACTAACTCTAATGCATTGCTGTTGGTACTATAGTGTACTATAGTGTTCTAGAATTGTGAAACTTTCTCAGAGAAATTTTAAAGAACATTTTTTCTTTGATTTACATAGTATTTGTATTCCTGGAAATTTCCATGTAAAACTAAACTGGGCAAAAAAATATTCTTTTTCTTGTTTTTTTACCTAAATGAATGTTCCATGGAACATCAAAGGTCACACAGGATGTGGGACAATTCTTCATTGGGTGGTACTGTTCATTGCACTGCAGAATGCACTAGCTTTCTTTAGTACCACCAGTACTCCACCTTCCCAATCATTGTGACAATGAAAAATGTTTCAAATGTCACATATGAGGCAGTAATTACCTCCCATCAAGAACTACTAGATACAGATAATTGTTCCATGTCAAGAGTAAAAAAAAAAAAAAAAAAAGAACTACTAGAATAAAGTGATGAATAAAAGAAATTTTCTGATAAGATTCTTTTTCTTTTCTTTACATATATACTCTATGTAGTGAGCTCATAAGATTCTTGGGCAAGGGAGATAATTAAATAAAAAACGTGTTTGAGGAATATTCTGATAGCTACTTTCCAGGCATTAGGGCCAGGTTAAAAAAAAACAAAAAAAGAAGCAACTTGCAGTTTTTTTTTTTTGGCAGCTGTGATTTACAAATCATTTTCACATACGTTATATGTTTCACATCAACTGTGAATTTAGTATCTCCCCGTTTTACAGAGGAAGCAAAAGCAGCTCATAAATGTTTTGACTTAATAAATCATTTTAATGAAAGACCTAGAGTTAGGATCCACATTCGTCTTCAAACATAATGTTTTTTCTGATATATCACGGTATTACAAGGATGATGAAGGCAGAAAAAAGAATTTTTTTAATGAGGGAAAATCTGATAGCACATTGGGAAGCCGAGGCAGGGCAATTGCTTGAAACCAGGAGTTTGAGACCAGCAAGAGCAAGACCCCATCTCTATAAAAAATAGAAAATTTAGTTGGGCATGGTGGCACATGCCTGTAGTCCCAGCTACTCAGGAAGCTGAGGCAAGAGGATTACTTGAGCCCAGGAGTTTGAGGTTGCTGTGAGATAGGATGATGCCATGGCACTTTGTCTCAAAAAAAAAAAAGAAAGAAAATCTGAGACTCACAGTAAAGCTAAAATTAGCAAGACTTTAATTGGACAGCTTTATATTAACTATCATTGACATTCTGGGAAGAAAGGTGACCAAAGCTTCTTTGAAAACTGAGGATTTATTAATATATTCCCCCTTCTTATTCTTATAGCACATGACTATGCACCTGGCTGAGATAATGAACAATGTGCATCAGATAATAACTCGCTATCCTGTTGATCTTAACGTGGCCTCTGGAAGGACTATCGCCAATATAGAATATAATAAAAAAAAGAGAACCGGTATTTCAGAGAAAATGATTACTTTTGCTCAGAATGCTGACATTAAAGAAAAGACTTTTGCCTACATTCTGTCCTGGCTAGAAGAATGGAGTAAGTTTCCAGAAGTAGTTTAGAGGAAAATCACAAAGTTGATGAAAACTATAGAGAAGAGAATCTATAAGTAAATTTTGAAGGATCAGACTAAAGAAGAAAAGACTAAGGATGTTATTCAGTTGGTTGTGCTCTGTTCCAGTAAGAATAAAATAAAAATCTAGGCTTATTCACTTAGTGCCAGCTATTCTGGCCTCCTTGCATTTTTTCAAGCATGCCAGCATGTTCTTCCTGCCCAAGGTCTTTACGTTTACTATTCCCTTGGCTTGCAACATTTCACCAGATAGGAACATGGCTCATTCATTGCTTAAACTTGTCTTTAAAAATGAGGTGTTCTCTGAACATCACCATTCCCTTTCATCTGGCATTCTCCACCCTCCACCCTTTCTTATTTTTGTCTATAGCATTAGTATCTGACATATAATATTATGAACTTTTTACTTTTTGTCTCTCTGCTTTCACTAGAATGTAAGCAGTATAAAGTCAAGGAACTTATTTTATTTAATGCTGTATCCACAGCATCTAGAACAGTATATGGCAGAGTAGACATTGGTTGAATGAAAGAATGAATAAACTAAGCATGCCAAAAAAAGGAATTTCACTTTGTTGCAAGAAATCTCATGTAACAGGGATTATAATACCTGATAACTTTCCAAACAAGCTAAATGGGATTTAGATCCCCAATATTAAAACACATACTCTCATTTTAGATACCTACTTCCTTGGTGTCAGGGAACTAAACCAAATAGAGACTTTTTAACCTCATTCATGTTTTCATGTCTAAGACTTAGCGTTCAGCCTTCTGTTCTAAGGCTCTTCCTTTTTGATTTCTTCATAGAGAAAAGATCCAGAATGGTAGTCTGAGATATCTATATTCCCCAATAATACTACATGGAGTATTTACCCAATATTATATACTTATATGGTTATAATTATTTTTCTTCCTGCACAAAAGTAATTTTTTTACTCTCTTCTAGGTGCTCTTTTGTCTGATATGACTGTAATTGATATTGATGAACACCACCACTGGATAGCACAAATGGAGATGTTACCAGACACATTAAAAACTATTGAAAACAATGTGAAGACACTGAGTAGATTCAGTGCATCTTTCTTCGAAGATAAGAGAAAACAAAAGAAAAAAACATGTAAGGGTGCTTTATGACTTTGGAAATGGAGTTTGACTTTTTCTTAAAAAAAAAAAAAACAGCTTGGCTGGGCGAGGTGGCTCACGCCTGTAATCCTAACACTCTGGGAGGCCCAGGTGGGTGGATTGCTCAAGATCAGGAGTTCAAAACCAGCCTGAATAAGAGCGAGACCTCATCTCTACTATAAATAGAAAAAAATTAGTTGTCCAACTAATATATATAGAAAAAAATTAGCCGGGCAAGGTGGCGCATGCCTGTAGTCCCAGCTACTGGGGAGGCTGAGACAGCAGGATGCTTGAGCCCAGGAGTTTGAGGTTGGTGTGAGCTAGGCTGAGGCCACGGCACTCACTCTAACCTGGGCAACAAACACAGCTTTATTGAGGTATGATTTGTATAAATATTAAGTGAACAATTAAATGATTTTCATTAATTTATAGAGTTTTGCAATGATCACCACAATGCCATTTTAGAACATTTCCATTATCCCAAAAATATCCCCCATGCTCATTTATGGTCAATCCTCATTCCCACCAGTAGCCACAGACAGCAGTCTATTTTCTGTCACAATAAATTTGCTTTTTATGGATATTTCATATAAACAGAATCATATTATATGTAGTCTTTGATGTCACCTTTCTTTCAATTAGTATAATGCTTTTGGCCTTCAGCCATGTTATAGAATGTATGAGTAATTTTTTCCTTTCTGTTGCTAATTGTATAGTTGTTTAAGAAATCATTAAGAAAGGAAAAAGATAAAATGTTTTTACTGTCTTTTTTATATTTATCTACACTTACTGGTGCTCTTTATTTCTTTGTGTAAATTTGAGTTATCCTTTGGTGTCATTTCCTTTTGATCTGAAGGAGTTCTTTAGTATTTCTCGTAAGGCAGGTCTTTTAGCAATAAATTTTCTCAGTCTTTGTTTATCTGGAACTGTCTTTTTTTTTGAGACAGAATCTCACTCGGTTGCCTGGGCTAGAGTGCCGTGGCATCAGCCTAGCTGATAGCAACCTCAAACTTCTAGGCTCAAGCAATCCTACTACCTAAGCCTCCCAAGTAGCTAGGACTACAGGCATGTACCACCATGCCCGGCTAATTTTTCTGTATATATTTTTTGTTGGCCAGCTAATTTCTTTCTATTTTTGGTAGAGACGGGGGTCTCACTCTTGCTCAGGCTGGTTTCCAACTCCTGAGCTCAAACAATCCACCCACCTTAGCCTCCTAGAATGCTAGGATTATAGGCATGAGCCACCGCACCAGACCATGGAACTCTCTTTATTTCACTTTCATTTCTAAATAGACCTTATTTTTTGGAACAGTTTTGGATTTAAAGAAAAATTGAGGAAAAAAATAGAGTTCCTGTTTATCTCCCCACCGTTTCCCCTATGATCTTTTTTTCTTGGCTCCTTAGCTAGGCAATCCCCTACTATTAATATCTCCCATTAGTATATACATTGTTACAATTAACAAACCAATATTGTACATTATTAAATAAGTTCACAATTTATTGAGAATTCCTTGTTTTTACCTAATGTCCCTTTTCTGCTTTAGGATCCCATCCAGGGTACCACATATATTTATTGTCATATCTCCTTAGGCACCTCTTAACCATGACAGTTACTCAGACTTTGCCTTGTGTTTAATGTACTTGACAGTTTTGAGGAGTACCAGTCAGGCATATTGTAGGATGCCCCACTATTGGAATTTGTCTGATGTTTTTCTCATGTTAAGCCTGGGGTTATGGGTTTTTGGAAGAAAGATCACAGAGCTAAAGTGCCATTTTCATCATATCATATCAAGGATACTTTCAAATGATTTATTACTTGATGTTGACATTTATAACCTAAGGTCATGTTTATCAGATTTCTCCATTGTAAAGTTATCCTTTCCCTTCCTTTCTATATTGTACTCTTTTTTTTTTTTTTTTTTTTTTGAGACAGAGTCTCGCTTGTTGACCAGGCTAGAGTGAGTGCCGTGGCGTCAGCGTAGCTCACAGCAACCTCAAACTCCTGGGCTCAAGTGATCCTCCTGCCTGAGCCTCCTGAGTAGCTGGGACTACAGGCATGTGCCACCATGCCCGGCTAATTTTATATATATATTAGTTGGCCAATTAATTTCCCAGAGAGCTAGGATTACAGGCGTGAGCCACCGCGCCCGGCTTCTATATTGTACTCTTTAGGGGGAAGTCTGGATGCAGCCCACACTTAAGGAATGGGGAGTTATGATTTATTTCCTTTAGGATGGAGTGTCTACACAAACCATTTGAAATTCTTATACATGGAAGATTTGTCTCTTCTCTCCCATTTATTAATTACACAATATCAAAAAGGACTCATGAATATTTATTGTATATTTTGGGTTATAATCCAATACTCATTTATTTTCTTGGTATAATCATTCCAGATTTGGCCATTGGGAGGTCTTTCAATTAGTTCCTTTACCCTTTTGACATAATACTATCAATGTGGGTTTTTTGTTTGGTTGTATTTTTAGCAATTCCTAACTTTCTGTATTCTAAGACGCTTCAGACTCATCTTGTGTATTTCCTGTCCCAGTCCTAGAACCAACCATTTCTCCAAGGATTTCTGTCTCCTTTTATTGGAGAATAGTATTAAAAACCAAGGTCTGGGTGCTAGGTATGCTCATTGCTACTGGGGTTTTATTTCTTTTAGGCCTTCTCAGCTGACAAATCAAAGAAATATATATATGTATACTAACCCATGAATGTACACATATCTATAAATATTTCTATACATAACCATCTGTAAGTGTATTCAGCCAAACGTGAGTCTTTACTGATGTCTCCAACTCTAATCCATTACCACATGGACCATCCTAGCTTCCTCCCTTATTTGTAAATTCCCACTCAAACAGTGAGAAACCTGGTCTTCCACAATCTGCCATCTACTTAATTATTCAATTCCAGTGTACATATATAGCACTGTCACAATTGTTAACCCATACCCACCATGAGAAATAACTCTTATAGTATAGTACTTATGTGCTGTTCCTAGTTTTATAGACTCAGCTGGGCATTGGTGGCTCATGCCTGTCATCCCAGCACTTTGGGAGGCTGAGGCAAGACGATTGCTTGAGCCCAGGAGTTCGAGGCTACAGTGAGCCATGATTGTGCCATTGCTCTCCAGCCTGGGCAACAGAGCAAGACCCTATCTCTAAAGACAAAACAAAAAAAAAAAATTAAAAATTGAAACAACAAGATAAAATTTAAAAAGTGGTTTTATAGACTTCATTCACTTCCAACGTTATTTAGCTCAGCACCTTCCCTCCACCCCAGCCCTTCATTGATGTTGTGTGATACATTTCTGATATGTTACAGTCTTTTGTCACAGTCTGAATTTTTTCTGGAATACTTTGACTTCTAAATGATTATTTTTCAAAATTTGCACACATGGGCCAGGCGTGGTGGCTCACGCCTGTAATCCTAGCACTCTGGAAGGCCGAGGCTGGAGGATCGCTCAAAGTCAGGAGTTTGAAACCAGCCTGAGCAAGAACGAGACCCTGTCTCTACTATAAAAAGAAAGAAATTAATTGGCCAACTAAAAATATATAAAAAAAGGCTACTTTGAAAGATAGTTTGTCAATTCCTACAAAGTGACTTATTAAGTAACATAGTCTTAGATATAATCCACAAATTGTGCTCCTCAGTATTTACTTAATTGATTTGAAAACTATGTCCACACAATTTTTTTTTATTTTTTTGCCATTTGAAAACAATTTATTGCTTTTCTTTCCAGAGCTTTGTAAATTTACAAAAAAAGGATCAAAGCTTACAGTCTGCTTAGTTCAAACTAAGAATGCAAGAGGTGAGACCCTACTACGTGGCCACCAGTGGCCGCTGTGCACTGATGCTCAAAATGAGCCCCCCAGCCTCTAAGTGCTGCCTTCAGAGGGCTGTGCTCCGCACACACTGTGACACACTTAGATCATTAGTCAAGCTGCTGGAATGGTATGGGGGTTTTTGGTTTGCCTTCCTGCTATAAAAGTGCAATTTTCAGTTCATTTCTGAAAAATAAATTGGTCAATAAATTCATTTTGTTTTGCTTCTACTTTACACAAAGCTTCATATTCAACCCAATACTTTCTAGCTGCATTTTCTTTTCTGCTATTAGTGCTTGAAGTTGCTGCTGTTGGGCTTCTCTCTGCTTTGCTATAGATTTGAGCAGGTTCCGAGCACCGATGGCCTTCATCTTCTCATTTTCTGCTGCTTTTGCAAGTTGGTCAACAAGCTCAATTAAACCACTAACTATTTTCTGAAACTGGCCAATTTTGTCCACAAAGTCCTTGCACTCTTCCTTGAGCTCTATGGTCTGCTGGGTAACCTCTGGATCCAACACCCGCAGCTTGTTCAGCTTATCAAAGTGCAGCCCTGCTTCACCCAGGATGTCCTTGGCCACAGCTGCCCAGCCTGGTAGCAGTGACACACTGCGGCCCTGGCTGATGCCAGCAGTTAGCTTCACTTGGGTCAGCGGCAGCCAGTCCCCGACCAGCCCATCTCGGCTGCTGCCACGGCTACAGAGCCAGTTCACCCATAACCTCCCATAGAGCTATGGTTAGCCCAGCCCCATTTTTCATCCTTACCATCAATGAACAATATTTCCTATTGATCCACATCCTTGCCAGCATTTGGTATTGTCAGTTCATCACATGTTTTGGATCTTAGCTATTTTAATAGGTATGGAACAGTACCCCATTGTTGTAATTTGCAGTTGTAATTTCCCTAATGACAGATGATGTTGAGCATCTTTTCATATGCTTATTTGCCATCTGTATATTTCATTTCTCACCTTCATTATTTGTTTGTTTGTTTTGAGACAGAGTCTCGCTTTGTTGCCCAGTAGAGTGAGTGCCGTGGCATCAGCCTAGCTCATAGCAACCTCAAACTCCTGGGCTCAAGCCACCTTCCTGCCTCAGCCTCTCAAGTAGCTGGGACTATAGATGCATGCCATCACACTTTGCTAATTTTTTCTATTTTTAGTAGAGACAGGGTCTCACTCTTATTCAGGCTGGTCTCAAACTCCTGACCTCAAGCAATCCTCCTGACTTGGCCTCCCAGAGTGGTAGGATTACATGTATGAGCCACCACACCTGGCCTCTGATCAGTTCTTTTTTTTTTTTTCCATTTTTATTTTTTAAGCCTGATTTCTAGGGGATCATCCTGCAGTCAATATAGCTTTGTGGTCAGTCAGTGATTGGCTGATCATTGACTAATTCCAGTAAGGCTTCCACTCTTTGGTAATGGATCTGTGTATACTTTAACTGTGTTTGACAATGCCCCTGGCATGGTTTTTTCCAATGCTGTTTCTCCAAATGAAGTCATCCCCCTCAGGCAGTAGAGTTGTCAGTCCTCACAGCCTGCCTCACTCTGGTAGAACTTCCAGGTCAATATCTGGGGGTTGAGGGTGAAAGCAGCTACAGGTTAACAGATTTTCACTGTTTTTTACTGTGGAACAGTAGTTTTTCTTAAATAAATGCTTCTCAATTTGTTGTATGCCTTTGGCCAATTTCCAAAGTCCTAAAATCATTGTTTTGATAGTTTTTCTAGTTTTATCATTTTTGGGAGGAGGATGTCGAATTTTTTTTTTTTTTTTTTTTTTTTTTTTTTTTTTATGGAACGCTTCACGAATTTGTGTGTCATCCTTGCGCAGGGGCCATGCTAATCTTCTCTGTATCGTTCCAATTTTAGTATATGTGCTGCCGAAGCGAGCACTTCTTTTTTCTTTTATTTTGAGACAGAGTCTCTCACTCTGTTGCCCGGGCTAGAGTGCCATGGCATCAGCCTAGCTCACCAACTTCCAACTCCTGGGCTCAAGCAATCCTACTGCCTCAGCTCCCTGAGTAGCTGGGACTACAGGCATGCGCCACCATGCCCAGCTAATTTTTTCTATATATTTTTAGTTGGCCAATTAATTTTTTTCTATTTATAGTAGAGATATGGTCTTTCTCTTGCTCAGGATGGTTTTGAACTCCTGACCTTGAGCAATCCTCCCCCCTTGGCCTCCCAGAGTGCTACAGGCATAAGCCACCACGCCCGGCCAATGCTGAATTTCTCATCCATCCATTCTAGAAATCCTTCCAAATGTCTATCTTTGGTCTGTTCATTTATGATTCTTTTGAAAGATCCAAGATTATCTTTGATTCAGAAAAGGAAGAAAAGAGAGACAGGAACCCAAGAAAGAAAATGGAAAACACTAATCATAACCAAAGCCTAAGGAAAGTTTTGGCTTTCATTAGATCTCATTCCAAACTTGTAACTAAAAGTAACTTGACGTTACAGCTGAGTTTATGTCCTAAACTCTGTAAGCAGAAGTTCTAGGTAATTGTGGGGAGTCATTCTTTTTAAAATAATACTGTTGGGCTGGGCGTGGTTGGCTCATGCCTGTAATCCTAGCACTCTGGGAGGTCGAGGCAGGAGGATCGCTGAAGATAAGGAGTTCGAAACCAGCTCTAAGCAAGAGCGAGACCCAATCTCTACTAAAAATAGAAAGAAATTAATTGGCCAACTGAAAATATATAGAAAAAATTAGCCAGGCATTGTGGTGCATGCCTGTAGTCCCAGCTACTCGGGAGGCTGAGGCAGGAGGATCACTTGAGCCCAGGAGTTTGAGGTTGCTGTGAGCTTGGCTGACGCCATGGCACTCTAACCCAGGTGACAGAGTGAGACCCTGTCTAAAAAATAAATAAATAAATAAAAATAATACTGTGTATTTTGGAGCTAAAGTTTTTTGATGAATTCTTAACCTATAGATATGCATTAGTCTAAACTCCTTAGCCTTAAACATAGATAAAGCACAATGCAAAAGAAAAATGTAATCTCATTGTTCTATGTTTTTTTCTTTCAGTATCAAGAGGTATTCTATGGAAAACTTGGAAAGAACGAGTTATAAAGCGACCTGCAACAGCCCATCCTTTAAGACCAGATCAGATGATTAATGATCAATTTGCAACAAATATAAAGGTTTCAGAAATCCAAGATATGCTACAGGAACTCATAGGCACTTCAATATTCAATAAATTGGAAAACAATGCTATTAAATATATATCAACAACAATAATAAACCTTTCTAAAGCTTTGAGTTTGCTAAGTGATGAATTAAAAGTTGTTAACTTCCAAGGTAGCAATATTTATGTAGATGAAACAAGTGATAAAAGAACAGATCTTTCCATGAAGATGATACAAGATCTCAGTGAAGAAAATGAAATGCTTCAGCAGAAACTTCAAGACGCAGAAGAAAAATATGAACAACTTCAAACCAAAGTTGTTACAGAACGCCAAATATATACAGCATTGCCCACTTCATCAACCTCGAAAATGTTTCCTGGACCTTCTTCACAGTCATCTATTGCTGTTACCAAAGCTGGTGACATAGATGACAATATGGAAAATATTTTCACCAAAGAATTTGGAGATATTGTAGAGGAAGCCCCCTCAAAAGTGATCAAAGGCTCTCGGAAAAAGTGGGGCTCAACTCTTTCATATACAGCCCAACCTGAAATCATTCCAGATTTAACTGAAAAACAACCACCTTTACCTGAAAAAAAACAGAAAAAGCCTCCTGAAGGTGATATCTATGAGAAAGATGAGACTGACGAGTATCAATCACAGAAAAGGAAGTACACAAAAGGCTTACATGCCAGTGAAACCTCTGGATCAAATCTGAGTGATAATAAAAGTGAACAGAAAGTTTCCGAGGCCAAACTTAATCAACCTGAGCTACAAACACTGGGAAAGAAAAATGAAAGGAAAAGAAATGAAAGGAAATTATTTTCTGAAGCCAAATCAAAGTCACCCACTGAATCACAAAGCCAACATTTCCTTTTTACTGAAACAAAGAGCCAAAGTGGCAAAGATGGAACAAGTAGCTTGTGGGAGCAACTCAAGAAAGGCAAACATAAATATTCATCTGTCAAAAGCCCAATTTCATCAGAGATTAAAGTAAAACCCACCACTGAGTCAATGGAGAAAGAGAGCAAAAGTGAGATGAGTAGCCTAGCGGAGATACTCAGGAAGAGTCAATCAAATTATACCTCTGAACCAAAGAAGGAAAAAAAACTTAAAAAACACCAAATCTCTTCAGAAACTACCACAAGCAAAGAAGAAAAAACCAAAAAGAAGGAAATTTTAGCCTTCACCAAAAAAGCCAAGACTCCTCAACTTGTTAAATCATACTCAAGAATACCAAAAAGGACTTCGGAATCTACCAGATCTCTAGAAAGTGAAGATGACAAAAGTGAACAGACTAACCTAGAAGAATTTCAGGAAGCCATAATGGATTTCCTAAAGGAGAAAATTGATAACATAGGAAAGCCTTTTGACAAAAAGACTGTGCTGAAGGAAGAGGAGTTATTAAAAAGAGCAGAAGTTGAAAAATTGGGAAGCATAAAGGCAAAAATGGAGGAATATTTCCAAAAAGTGGCTGAAACTGTGACTAAAATCTTGAGGAGATACAAAGATATAGAAAAGGAAGGACAAGTTGAAGAGAAACTTATGAAACAAAAAAAGATAGTTTCATTTATGCCAGGATTACATCTTCAGAAGTCACCAATTAATGCAAAATCTGAAAGTAGTACCTTCCCCTTGTATGAGAGCACAGATCCAGTAATTAACAATTTACTACAAATGATCTTGGCTGAAACAGAAAGTGAAAGAGATGTTCCAACAGTCTCAGTAGGAGGGAAAGACCACAAGAAGGAAAAACAAAGGCAGAAGGAATATTTGCAAGAGGGTCAAGAAAAAATGTCTGGCATAAGTCTCAAACACCAGTTGCTAGAAAAAAGAAAGCTTTCAAAGGACAGTGATGAGAAGATAAACAATAATTTGGAGGAGAAAAAGGCATGGCTCCAGATGGAGGGAACGCAAGGACAACAGAAGCAGAAAGAGGGGCAGGACGAAGTGTCGAAGAAACAGCAAAAACAGAGAGTTCAAAAGCAGATTGAGCAAGACGAGAAGCAAAAGCAAAGGGGAAAGGAGGAGGAAGAGCATCAGAAGCCTGCGCAGCAGCAGATGGAAGCACTGAAGCAAAAAACGAAAGAGCAAGAGATACTCTTCGAAAAGGAGAATGAAGACACGGGGCAGGTTCAGAAGGACGCAGGAGATCTGGAGCTGAAAATGAGAGTGAAGAAAGAGAAGAAGCAGAAGCCAGGGAGAGAGGTAGAGGACCAAGAAAGGCAGAGGCAGAATGAAGCAAAGGATCAGATGAAGATTGAGGAGGAAAAACCTGAAGAGATAGTAAAAATGGTCACCCAAGCTCCAGTGACATCATCTTTCAAGCAGAGATTATTGGAAGATGTAGCCAATTTAAACGAAGAAAGAGAATTCCATAGGAATCTGAAGACTTCAGAGATTTTTCCTGATCAAAAGAAGTCCATACCAATAATTCCAACCACTTCCACACAATCCTCCCCATCTGAGGTCCTTCCCATTTCTGGAGAGCCTATGACAAAGCACATCACTCTCACCTCTCAGCAGGCCCAGGACCCAGGGATCACTCTCACCCCTCAGAAGTCTCAGGCTCAGGGGATCACTCTCACCCCTCAGAAGGCTGAGGATCAGGGGACCACTCTCACCCCTCAGAAGGCTGAGGATCAGGGGACCACTCTCACCCCTCAGAAGGCTGAGGATCAGGGGACCACTCTCACCCCTCAGAAGGCTGAGGACATCACTCTCACCCCTCAGAAGTCTCAGGCTCAGGGGATCACTGTCACCCCTCAGAAGTCTCAGGCTCAGGGGATCACTGTCACCCCTCAGCAGGCTCAGGCTCAGGAGACCACTCTCACCCCTCAGAAGGCTCAGGCTCAGGGGATCACTCTCACTCCTCAGAAGTCTCAGGCTCAGGGGATCACTGTCACCCCTCAGAAGGCTCAGGCTCAGGAGACCACTCTCACCCCTCAGAAGGCTCAGGCTCAGGGAATCACTCTCACCCCTCAGCAGGCTCAGGCTCAGGAGACCACTCTCACCCATCAGAAGGCTCAGGCTCAGAGAATCACTCTCACCCCTCAGAAGGCTCAGCCTCAGGGGATCACTCTCACCCCTCAGAAGTCTCAGGCTCAGGAGACCATTCTCACCCCTCAGAAGGCTCAGGCTCAGGAGACCACTCTCACCCCTCAGAAGGCTCAGGCTCAGGAGACCACTCTCACCCCTCAGAAGGCTCAGGCTCAGGAGACCACTCTCACCCCTCAGAAGGCTAAGGCTCAGGGGATCACTCTCACCCCTCAGAAGGCTAAGGCTCAGGACATCCCTCTCACCCCTCAGAAGTCTCAGGCTCAGGGGATCCCTCTCACCCCTCAGAAGTGAGTGATCCCCTATAGCCTGAGCCCTTCTGAGGGTGAGAGTGATCTCCTGAGCCTGCGGCCTTTCTGAGGATGAGTGTGCATCCCCTGCAGCCTGGAGAGCTTCTGAGGCCGCGTGAGAGTGATCCCCTGCAGCTGCAGCCTGCTGGGAGGCGGTGTGGTAGTGGAGTCCCTTGAGCCTGAGGGCTTCACTGAGGGCGCTGAGAATAATCCTGAGCCTGAGCCTTCTGAGGGGGGTGAAGGAGTGGATCCCTGAAGCCTGAGGCCTTCTGAGGACGTTGAGAGTGATCTACTGAGCCTGGGGCCTTCTGGTAAGGGTGAGAGTGATTCCCCTGGAGCCTGGAGCTTTTCGGAAGGTGTGGAGTGATCCCTGAGCTGAGGCTGCCTGAGGGGTGAGAGTGATTCCCTGAGTTTGAAGCTGCTGCGTGGGGTGGAGAGTGATCTCCGCTGAGCCCTGCGGCCTTTTCTGAGGGGTGGGAGAGCGATCCCCTGAGTCTGGACCTTCGCTGAGGGCGTGAGAAGCTGCGTCTCACTTGAGGCCTTGAGCCCTTCTGGAGCGGGTGAGAGTGATCTCCTGAGCCTGAGCCTTCTGAGGGCTGAGAGCGATCCCCCCTGAGGTCTGAGCCTGCTGAGGGGTGAGAGACCGATCTCCTCAGCCTAGCCTTTACTGAGGGGGGGTGAGAGTGTCTCCTGAGCCTGACCTGCCCTGAGGGGGAGAGTGATCTCTGAGCCTGAGACTTTGCTGGAGGGGTGAGAATTGGATCTCCTGAGCCTGGAGTCTGTCCTGAGTGGTGAGGTCGAGTCCCTGAGCCTGAGTCTTCTGAGGGGTGGAGAGGGATGTCCTGAGCCTGAGCCTTCGCTGAGGGTGAGACGTGCATCTCCTGAGGGCCTGAGTCTTCGTGAGCGGGTGAGGAGGGTGCTCTTCGCGAGCCGTGCAGTCTTCTGAGCGGATGAGCGCAGAGACTTCTGAGGGGGTGGGAGAGGGATGTCCTGAGCCTGAAGACTTCTGCAGGCGGGTGGAGGGTAGTCGATCCGAGGCCTGAACTTCTGGAGGGGGTGAGAGTGGGCCCCCCCTCCGCCCTGAGCGTGCCCAGTGCTGTGAGAACACCCCTGGAGCCTGAGACTCTGAGGGGTGGAGAGCGCGATGTCCTAGCCTTAGGCCCTTCTGGAGGGTTGAGAGTGACCTCCTGAGCGCTGAGACCTTCTGGAGCGGGGAGAGGGACCGCCCTGAGCCTGAGGACTTGCTGAGGGAGGAGGATGTCCTGAGCCTTAAGCCTTCTGGATGGGGTGAGAGTGAGTCTGCCGTGAGCGCTGAGGACTGTTCTGAGGGGTGGAGGAGGGATCCCCGTGAGGCCTGAGACTTTCCTGAGGGGGTGAGAGGGATCCCCTCTCACGCCCTCAGAAGCTCTCAGCTCAGGGAGGATCACTCTCGACCGCCTCAGAAGGCTAAGGCTCAGGACATCCCTCTCACCCCTCAAGGAAGTCTCAAGGGCGCTCAGGGGATCCCTCTCACCCCTGCGCAGAAGGTGCTCAGGCCTGCAGGACGGCTCACTCTCCCTCCTCCTCAGAAGGGCCTAGGCCTCAAGGACATTCCCTCTCTCACCCCTCAGAAGTCTCAGGCTCAGGGGATCCCTCTCACCCCTCAGAAGGCTAAGGCTCAGGGGATCACTCTCACCCCTCAGAAGTCTCAGGCTCAGGGGATCACTCTCACCCCTCAGAAGTCTCAGGCTCAGGACATCCCTCTCACCCCTCAGAAGTCTCTGGCTCAGGGGATCCCTCTCATCCCTCAGAAGACTCAGGCTCAGGAGATCACTCTCACCCCTCAGAAGGCTCAGGCTCAGGACATCCCTCTCACCCCTCAGAAGACTCAGGCTCAGGGGATCACTCTCACCCCTCAGAAGACTCAGGCTCAGGAGATCATTCTCACCCCTCAGAAGTCTCAGGCTCAGGAGATCACTCTCACCCCTCAGCAGGCTCAGGCTCAGGAGACCACTCTCACCCCTCAGAAGGCTCAGGCTGAGGAGATCGCTCTCACCCCTCAGCAGGCTCAGACTCAGGGGATCGCTCTCACCCCTCAGAAGGCTCAGGCTCAGGAGATCACTCTCACCCCTCAGAAGGCTCAGGCTCAGGAGACCGCTCTCACCCCTCAGAAGGCTCAGACTCAGGGGATCGCTCTCACCCCTCAGAAAGCCCAGGCTCAGGAGATCACTCTCACCCCCCAGCAAGCTCAAACTCAGGGGATCACTCTCACACCTCAGCAGGCTCAGGCTCAGGAGATCACTCTCACACCTCAAAAAGCTCAGGCTCAGGGGATCACTCTCACCCTTCAGAAGGCCCAGGCTCAGGAGATCACTCTCACTCCTCAGAAGGCTCAGGCTCAGGGGATCACTCTCACCCCTCAGAAGGCTCAGGCTCAGGGGATTATTCTCACCCCTCAGGAGGCTCAGGCTCAAGGGATCACTCACACCCCTCAGAAGGCTCAGGCTCAGGGGATCACTCTCACCCCTCAGAAGTCTCAGGCTCAGGGGATCACACTCATCCCTCAGAAGGCCCAGGCTCAGGAGATCACTCTCACCCCTCAGAAGGCTCAGGCTAAGGGGATCACTCTCACCTCTCAGAAGGCTGGGACTCAGGGGATCACTCTCACCCCTCAGAAGGCTCAGGCTCAGGGGATTACTCTCACCCCTCAGAAGGCTCAGGCTCAGGAGATCACTCTCACCCCTCAGAAGGCTCAGGCTCAGGAGATCACTCTCACCCCTCAGAAGGCTCAGGCTCAGGGGATTACTCTCACCCCTCAGCAGGCTCAGGCTCGGGAGATCACTCTCACCCCTCAGAAGGCTCAGCCTCAGGGGATCACTCTCACCCCTCAGAAGGCTCAGCCTCAGGGGATCACTCTCACCCCTCAGAAGGCTCCGGCTCAGGGGATCACTCTCACCCCTCAGAAGGCTCAGCCTCAGGTGTTCACTCTCACCCCTCAGAAGGCTCCGGCTCAGGACATCACTCTCACCCCTCAGAAGGCTCAGCCTCAGGTGTTCACTCTCACCCCTCAGAAGGCTCAAGTTCAGGGGATCACTCTCACACCTCAGAAGGCTCAGGCTCAGGGGATCACTCTCACCCCTCAGAAATCTCAGGCTCAGGGGATCACTGTCACCCCTCCACAGGCCCAGGCTCAGGGGATTACTCTCACCCCTCAGCAGGCCCAGGCTCAGGGGATCACTCTCACCCTTCAGCAGGCACAAGACCTGGGGATCCTTCTCAACCCCCAGCAGGCCCAGGCTCAGGGATCACTGTCACCCCTCCACAGGCCCAGGCTCAGAGGATCACTCTCACCCCTCAGCAAGCCCAGGCTCAGGGGATCACACTCACCCTTCAGCAGGCACAAGACCTGGGGATCCTTCTCACCCCCCAGCAGGCCCAGGCTCAGGGGATCACTGTCACCCCTCCACAGGCCCAGGCTCAGGGGATCACTCTCAGCCCTCAGCAGGCCCAGGCTCAGGGGATCACTAGCAGGGTACAAGACCTGGGGATCACTCTCACCCCCCAGCAGGCTCAGGCTCAGGGGATCACTCTGACCCTTCAGCAGGCACAAGACCTGGGGATTACTCTCACCCCCCAGCAGGCTCAGGCTCAGGGGATCACTCTTACCTTTCAGCAGGCCCAGGACCTGGGGATCTCTCGCACCCCTAAGAAGCCCCAAGTTTTTGGTGTCACACTTACACATGAGCAGGCCCAGGCACTGAGGCCTTCTGTCACTCTAGAACAAGCCCAGACATTGAAAGTTCCTATCACTCCTAAGTATACCAAGGTACTAAAGGCATCTGTCCTCTCTGAACAGACCCAGGCAATGCAATTCCCACTAACTACTGAACAGGCCCAGAGATTTGGGGTCCCTATCACCCAAGAACAAGCCAAGGCACTGGGAGTCACTCTTATGCCAGAGCAGACCCAGGCATTTAGCCTGCTCACTCCTGAGCAGGCTCAGGGACTGGAGCTTTCTCTCACCCCTGAGCAAGTCCAACCTTTGGGAGTCCCCTTAACCCCAGGACAGATCCAGTCTGCAGGTATTACTCTCATATCTGAGCATGACCTGAAATTAAGGGGTTCTCGCACACCAGGTGCTCCTCACATTCCTAAGCAACCCACCACGTCAGCTCCTTCTGCTTATAGACCATTTCAGGGATTGAAGCCTTCTGTCCCCACTAGGCAATCCATTATATCTCCAAGCTTTAGGCAGTTCCCGGCATCATCTGCTCCCATCACAGAGGAGTTTCCTACATTTGGGATATCTTCTCCTCCTTTGCAGATATCAGGGCCTCCTCTCACCCAACACCTTTTTGCCCCTGGGAAGCCCCCAGAAATGGGGATTCTTCCTGAACCTAAGAAACTCCTGGAACCACAGACCCTTCCTTCCTCTTCACAGACTCTGATATATAGAGGTCCATCCACTCCTGCACAGTTCCTAGCACCAGAGGTTCCTCCTACCCTTGGACAGCTCCCAATATCTGGGTCCCCTCCCACTCCAGGGAAGCCCTTTGAACTGGAGGCCCCTAACTCTAGGCAGTTCTTCCTATCTAGGGCCTCTCTGACTCCCCGGCCACCTTTAATGTTGAAGGCCCCTCTTGCTCCAAGGCAGCCTCTTGTATCTGGAATACCATCCACTTCTGGACAGATTCCCAGTCTCTGGGCTCCTCTTTCTCCTGGGCAGCCCTTGGTTTCTGGGATCTCTTCCATCCCCAAGCAGCTCCTGGAATCCAAACCCGTAACCCTCTCTGAGTGGTCCCAGGCATTCCAGCTTCCTGCCACCGCTGAGCAATCTCCCTATATGCAGGCCCCTTCTACCCTTGGGCAGCATCTAGCACCATGGATCTTTCCTGGGCAAGCTCCCCTATTATGGATTTCTGGGTATCCCCACCCACCCTTGGCCCCCCTAACCCATGGAAAGCCCCAGAAAGGTTTGTCCTCTTCTGTTGCTAGGAGAAGACTGGCAATTATTTCTTCTCTGAAATCTAAATCAGCATTGGTCCATCCCAATGCTCCAGATTTCAAGGTACCTCAAGCTCCTTTAACCACTAAGAAGGTCCAAATGTCAGAGGTCTCTGATACTTATGAAGGAACCCAGGCATACCAAGATGCTTTTGCCATAGAACCATTGAGAACAGTTCAGTCCTATCTCACCAATTATATGACACCAGTATCACGAACCCCTTATATGAAGCCTATAACATCACTACCTTCTCTTACTACTCAACTACTCAAAACATCACAGATCTCACCTTCGGAACGGGACCGGAGATCCCGATTCCCCCGGACCAAGAAACCCAAGATGATGGTGCCCCCTTCTTCTCCCCAGGGGCTTGAAGACAAGAGGTATTTTGTTGATGTAGAGGCTCAGAGGAAGAACCTGATACTATTAAATCAAGCCAAAAAAACTTCTGGACTCCCTTCACAGCTATACACAACAGCTAGGAATCTCATAATTGAGACACTTCATATGGACACAGTTCGGCTGGGATACCTATTCCGCAAGTACATTGCCTATAGGCTGATCCAGAGTGCCAGGTAGATGTAATTATTTTATGTCCAGCTTTTTGGTATAGTCCTGACTTCAAATATTCTCCCTTTAAATATTCTGCCCTAGAAATATATTCATATTTGTCCTATTATCTTATAGAAGATCTGTGGAATGAAAGCCTATTTAAGATAGCAAAAGGAGATTTTTTTTTTTTTTGAGACAAAGTCTCACTTTCTTGCCCAGGCTAGAGTGAGTGCCGTGGCGTCAGCCTAGCTCACAGCAACCTCAATCTCCTGGGCTCAAGCAATCCTACTGCCTCAGCCTCCCGAGTAGCTGAGACTACAGGCATGCTCCACCATGCCCGGCTAATTTTTTGAGTATATATATATATATTTTTTTTTTTAGTTGGTCAATTTGTTTCTTTCTGTTTTTAGTAGAGACAGCGTCTCACTCAGGCTGGTTTTGAACTCCTGACCTTGAGCAATCCACCCGCCTCGGCCTCCCAGAGTGCTAGGATTATAGGCGTGAGCCATTGCGCCCGGCCAGCAAAAGGAGACATTTTTTAGAAAATAAGAAATGAGACCAGCCTGAACAAGAGTGAGACCCCATCTCTACTAAAAATAGAAAGAAATTAATTGACCAACTAAAAAAAATATATAAATATATATACACACACACACACACACACATACACACAAATTAGCCGGGCATGGTGGCACATGCCTGTAGTACCAGCTACTCTGGAGGCTGAGGCAATAGGACTGCTTGAGCCCAGGAGTTTGAGGTTGCTGTGAGCTAGGCTGACGCCATGGCACTCACTCTAGCCTGGGCAACAAAGTGAGACTGTCTCAAAAAAAAAGAAACAAAAAAACTTTCTGTTGAGAGATATGGAGTTGACTTTTTTTTCCCATATGGCTACCCAGTTAGTTGCCCCATCCCTATTTACAAAGTAATCTACTTTTCCTCCTACCGATTTGCATGCACTTTATCATAAATTCTTATCTGTGTCCACATCTGAACTTTCTATTATTTTTTATTGATCTGCCTATTGATAAGTCACTTCCATCCTGTGTTATTTATTGCAGTTTTACTTTGACGATGTTGAGTCTTTGTGGTAAGTTATTAGTGCTGTTTGCTGGCAGTTGCCAATGAGATGTGAGCAGAACTGATATGTGTCATTTCTGTGCTGAGCTTGTCATTGTTGGTTTGAGAACCTCCAGAGTTTCCTTTTCCTCTGGTATGATAACCCACAGTGTTCAAGGTGGTGGCTACTACTCCTTTAGCCTGTGTCTCTGAGAGAATACAATGAAGCTCACTTTCTGCTGAGCCATGATGAATTAGTAGTATAAGCAACAACTAAATTTTTTGTTGTTTTAAACCACTGAGATTTGGGATTTATTAAACATTTGTTAAAACAGTAAATCCTAGCTTATCTTCACTGATATAGTCTTCCTATCCAAGAATATGGTATACTGCTCTTTTTGTTCAGGGTTTTTGTGTGTGTGTGTCCTTTAGGTGCATTTTAAAATTTTCATCTAGGTCTTGCATATTCTTTCCTAAGTGTAAATTTTATTTTTGTCCTTGGCACTATTGTAAATGGACTAAGTGTATATTTTATTTTTATCTGTGGTGCTATTGTAAATGGACTTTTTTCTTCTATGATATTTTCTAACTCATTGTTATTTGTACAAATGTATCAATGTTGTATGCAGTCTTCTTACTGTATTCAAGCATGTGAAAGTTTTTCAGTTGATTTTCTTGAGTTTTCTAGGTATATAATCATCTCGCCTGAAAATAATTTTTTACATCTAAATTTTCCAATTTTTAACTATCTAATTTCTGTCTCTTGCTTATATATTGGTTAGTACATCCAGAACAACGTTAAAAAATAATGATATGGAAACTAACAGGTAAGGAATTTGCCTCGGTGCCATCTTCTTTTAACTGTTGTCAGTGACATTGTTGAAACCCAAGAGTCAAAAAAAAAGGGAGGGGGAGTAGAGGGAGCACTTGAGTCAAAATTAGAAGAAATGCTTGGAAGAGGCTATGCCCGTGGCTGAGGCAGTAAAGGGAAAGGAGGAAGCTTGATAGGCCTGGGATCTGGATGTTAAGGTAGAAATGACTTCAGAGGCAGGAGGAGACCACATTCCTGATCATAGAATTTTGAAAGAAGCAAGGGTGTGTAAAGCTTATCCAGGGCAACTCCTTGTGACACAACTGAGGCTTAGGAAAGAAAATAGTTTGCCCACAGTTCACCTAGGTCTCAGCATTCTTGATTCCAATTCAAACTGATGTTTAAATTTTAAATAGAAGGCCAGCTTAGTGGCTCACGTCTGTAACCCTAGCACTCTGGAAGGCCGAGGTGGGAGGATCACTTGAGCTCAGGAGTTCGAGACCAGCCTGAGTAAGGGTGAGACCACGTCTCTACTAAAAATAGAAAAAATTAGCTGGACAATAAAAAATATATATATATATAAAATTAGCCGGGCATAGTGGCATCTGCCTGGTCCCACCTACTCAGGAGGCTGAAGCAGGAGGATCGCCTGAGCCCAAGGGTTTGAGGTTGCTGTGAGCTATGATGATGCCATAGCACTCTAGCCCAGGCAACACAGTGAGACTCTGCCTCAAAAAAGAAGAAAAATAATAAGTTGTAAATAGAAATTGAACTTTTTATGATATTTGTAAAGCAAATAAAATGGATTCTACTGACAAAAAAATAATGATTTGGCTACAAGGCCATCTTTGTTTGTTTGACTTGCTCTGAGTAACAGATATTAATAGTTCAATGGCCCCATGTTATTTTATTCTAGGAAAATTTCATCTTCAAGACTGTTTTAAAGTATCATTTACATTTATATTCTCATTTCTGAAAAGCTGCAAAACATTCTCAATCTAGTCAATTTCATATTTTTGCTATTATCTCCATCTTATGTAACTCAGATTGCCAAAATGTGAGTTGTTCTTTCATTGCTAATTATTATGATATAATTATAAATTGGTTTAAAAATAGTAGTGATAGTAGACATCTTTCTAGTATTTGTCATTAAGAAAAATGCTGACTTTTGGGTTGAAATACATTTAATTATATTAAAGAGGTTCTGTTTTATTATTTTTTTAAAATCAAGAATGGGTATCAGGCCGGGCGCGGTGGCTCACGCCTGTAATCCTAGCACTCTGGGAGGCCAAGGCAGGTGGATTGCTCAAGGTCAGGAGTTCGAAACCAGCCTGAGCAAAAGCGAGACCCTGTCTCTACTATAAATAGAAAGAAATTAATTGGCCAACTAATATATATATACAAAAAATTAGCCGGGCATGGTGGCGCATGCCTGTGGTCCCAGCTACTCGAGAGGCTGAGGCAGAAGGATTGCTCGAGCCCAGGAGTTTGAGGTTGCTGTGAGCGAGGTTGACACCACGGCACTAACTCTAGCCTGGGCAACAAAAGTGAGACTCTGTCTCAAAAAAAAAAAAAAATGTATATATAGTATATATAGTACTATATAATATATATATATATATTAGTTAAGAAATTTACCAATTTGATATCCATTCTTTTTTTTTTTTTTTTTTGAGACACAGTCTCGCTTTGTTGCCCAGGCTAGAGTGAGTGCCGTGGCGTCAGCCTTGCTCACAGCAACCTCAAACTCCTGGGCTCAAGCAATCCTGCTACCTCAGCCTCCCCAGTAGCTGGGATTATAGGCATGCGCCACCATGCCCGGCTAATTTTTTCTATATATATTGGTTGGCCAATTAATTTCTTTCTATTTATGGTAGAGATGGGGTCTCACTCTTGCTCAGGCTGGTTTCGAACTCCTGACCTTGAGCAATCCACCTGCCTCGGCCTCCCAGAATGCTAGGATTACAGGTGTGAGCCACCACGCCTGGCCCTGAACTAATATTTTATTAAATGTGATTTCAGCACTTCATTTTCACATGTATTAAATACAATATTATTTTTCTCCTTTGATATGTTAATCATGATTAATTATATTAAACCATCATTGTATTCTTGGCACAAATCCCATTCGTTCCTAGTGTAACCTTCTTTGAATGTATTATGAAATCAGTATATTTTATTAAAGATTTCTTTCATTGATATTCATTAGTAAGTTTGGCAGATGGTTTACTTCTTACAGTATTACATTTATTAAGTTTTGGTATAATTTTAAGCTTGTATCATTAAAAAATGTGGAAGCTTATCTTTTTCTATGCTCTGGAACAGTTTATTTTTATTTTTATTTATTTATTTATTTTTTCGAGACAGAGTCTCGCTTTCTTGCCTAGGCTAGAGTGAGTGCCGTGGCGTCAGCCTAGCTCACAGCAACCTCAAACTCCTGGGCTCAAGCGATCCTCCTGCCTCAGCCTCCGAGTAGCTGGGACTACAAGCACAAGCCACCATGCCCGGCTGATTTTATTATATATTATATTAGTTGGCCATTAATTTCTTTCTATTTTATGGTAGAGACAGGGTCTCGCTCAGGCTGGTTTTGAACGCCTGACTTGAGCGATCCGCCCGCCTGGGCCTCCCAGAGTGCTAGGATTACAGGCGTGAGCCACCGCGCCCGGCCAGTTTAAGTAATAGTAAAAGTATCCATTCTTTTAAGGTTTGGCAAATTACACCTATGATAATATTATACTTTATTACTTTTTGAGGGGAGTTCTTTGATAGCTTTCTCAATTTTACATGACAACTGGTTTGTTTAGATTTATTGAGGATGTTGAAAACCTAGGTGACATGATCTGACCTGTTTCAGTAAAATCATTTAAAAATTGAAATATATGAACCAACATTTCATAACAAGATTTAACTTCAATCAATTAACAATGGTGATGTTAAAAACTAAAAAAAAATTAACTTTTATATAATTGCAACTTTAATCCTATCAAGGATACTTCATTTTCTTCCGGTAAATCTCTTCATTAATATTTAATATTATAATAATAAAATTACCAACACATGTAACAAGGAATAAAATATTGACAGGTTAAAGATTCTATAACAAGGATGGCTGGTCCAAGAAAATTCTAATATTATATGTGAGAGAAAATATTATAGTAATATAAACTACTTTTTTTTTTTTTTTTTTTGAGACAGAGTCTTGCTTTGTTGCCTAGGCTAGAGTGTGAGTGTCAGCCAGCTCACAGCAACCTCAATCTCCTGGCTCAAGCAATCCTTCTGCCTCAGCCCTCCCAAGTAGCTGGGACTACAGGCATGTGCACCGATGGCCGGCTAATTTTTATATATAGTATATTAGTTGGCCAATTAATATTTCTTTCTTTATTTATAGTAGAGACGGGGGTCTTGCTCTTGCTCAGGCTGGTTTCGAACTCCTGACCTTGAGCAATCTGCCTGCCTCGGCCTCCCAGAGAGCTAGGATTACACCGGCCACCACGCCCGGCCTAAACTACTTTTGAATGAAGAAATTTCTGTAGAGCCTCTGTAAATGACTATTATTTATTTATTTATTTTTGAGACAGAGTCTTACTCTGTTGCCCAGGCTAGAGTGAGTGCCGTGGCGTCAGCCTAGCTCACCGCAACCTCTAACTCCTGGGCTCAAGCGATCCTTCTGCCTCAGCCTCCTGAGTAGCTGGGACTACAGGCACGTGCCACCATGCCCAGCTAATTTTTTCTATATATTTTTAGTTGACCAATTAATTTCTTTCTATTTTTAGTAGAGACGGGAGTCTCACTCTTACTCAGGCTCGAACTCCGGACCTCAAGTGATCCTCCTGCCTCGGCCTCCCAGAGTGCTAAGATTACAGGCGTGAGCCACTGTGTGCCTGGCTCCATCATACCTTTTAAGGCCTTTTAATCCAGCCATTCCAATCTCATTTCCCACTATATCCTTTCACATATCTGTGGTCTAAAAATCCCAGCTTACTCACTCCCAAAATACAATTTTGGCTTTCTCACCTTTGTTTATAATATTCCCTCAACCTGGAATTCCTCTTCCCCTTCTTCCGTATCCGTACTCTGTTAGTAAGCACAATGGTCTTCAAATTTTAGTTAAGTAAAATTTACCTGAGATTTGGCTTAAAATACAAATTCTTGAAATCTACCACCAAGATTTTGATTTGAAAGGTCTGAGGAAGAACCCTGGAATCTGAATTTCAACAAGCACCCCCAAATGATTCAGTACAGGTGATCATAATCTGCACTTTGAGAAATTTTGGTATTATGAAAGAGAAAAGATTTGGGTTTGCTTCCCAGATCTATTTATTATGTGGCTTTAGAAAAATTGTTTAACTTTGCTGAGCTTCCTTTTCCTCTCCTGTTAAAATGGGAATGGCAAAACTATCTTTTTAGGACCACGAAATGTGGTAGTATACATCATAGGAGAGAGACAGAGAATATTTTTGTGATTGTTCTTCAAGATCCTATTCAACATCTTCCTAGAAAGCCTTCTTTATTACTCTTGTTAGAATTAATTATGTTTTCCTTTTTGCTCCTACAGCATGTTTATATATCAATTTAGCATTTATTTCATTCTATCTCTTTTTTTTGCGAGGGAGGAAGATCCAATCATCTGAATCATTCTATCTTTGATACAGTTAATTTTTTTGTCTCTTGTTCTGGATGGTAAGTGCTTTGAAGGCAAGGACACTGTCTTTTTCGTATTTGTATTAAGTATCTTCTATGTGTCTTACACATATCAATATACTAAAAATAGGAAGTATTTTGTCCCCTAAGGTAATTTTTATTACAAATAGGAACATTTAACTTTTTATTATATTAAAATAATAAGGGCGGGCGAGGTGGCTCACGCCTGTAATCCTAGCACTCTGGGAGGCTGAGGCGGGAGGATTGCTTGAGCTCAGGAGTTTGAAACCAGCCTGAGCAAGAGCGAGACCCGTCTCTACTATAAATAGAAAGAAATTAATTGGCCGGGCCTGGTGGCGCATGCCTGTAATCCCAGCTACTCGGGAGGCTGAGGCAGCAGGATTGCTTGAGCCCAGGAGTTTGAGGTTGCTGTGAGTGAGGCTGACGCCACGGCACTCACTCTAGCCTGGGCAACAAAGCGAGACTATGTCTCAAAAAATAAATAAATAAAAAAATAATAAGCAACACTAAAAAACTCTGTGAAGAGTTAATAAATATTTGATAGTCATAGATTTTTGAAACTTTATCCATATAGGGAACTGTATTAAGGTCTTAAGTAAGATTCCCATTCCTTTCTACTTACTAGGGATGAGAAGTGAAAGAAGCTGAGGACAGGTTTGCTGAGTTAGAGTCAGGAACTATATCAATCTAATTCTTATTAATTTTTTTTTCAAGAAACAACATAATCAAACGATTAAAAGCCACCCAAAACACTGGGAAAGGTTATGAGACCCAGAACCTCTACATAACACTGATCAGAATTGATGACTACCAGAAAAAGGTTATGCGGGTCTGGACTGAGAAGCAGAAGTCTCTAGAGCAGAAACGCAATCAGTGCCTGAGGGAAATGATTCACTTATTTGGCCAGGTAACCTGTTTTCCATTCCCCAGCTCCAGTGTGTTGTAAAAAAAAAGAAAGTGATAAGCTTTGAAAATAACATTTACCTGGAAACATCATGCATATTAGTTTCTTGGGGCTGCTATAACAGATTGCCACAAACTTGATGGTTTAAAACAACAGAAATTTATTCTCTCACAGTTCTAGAGGCGAGAAGTTCATGAAATCAAGGCGTTTGCAGGATTGGCTCTGTCTGGAGGCCCTGCGGGAGAAATCTGTTAAATGCCTCTTTCCTAGATTGTGATGGCTGTTGGCAATCCTTGGTATTCCTTAGCTTATAGACACATAACTCTAATCTCTGCCTCTGTCCTTCAAATGGCCTTCTTCTAAGTATGTCTTCTGTCTTCTTTTCTGTCATTGGAATTAGGAACCACTTGGTAAATCCAGGATGATGATCTCATCTTGATATACTCATATGTTTTGGGTGGATATATCTTTTGGGGGGAACCCTCCATTCAACCCACTACACTATGACTTCAGTGAAGCTCCTAAACTGACAACAGCAACACTTGCTAGATCTCTAGATGAGAAAAAGATGAGAACAGGAGAAACTTCCAGAAATGCTCAACTTCTTCCTGGTTCAACCACATGTTCTAGCCTGCAGATATTAAATTTCTTGAAGTCACTGCTCTCTAACTGATTCTGAGTGGTTACTTCTCTCCTCAAAACTATCAATCAGGAAGCTAGTTTTAATATCATGAGTTTATGAGAAAAGAGATAGGGTTTAACTTGCTTACTCAGCACCAGGCACAGAAAATCCCATTAAACTCTGACTTCAACTCCTATGTCCCAGAGCCCTCTATGAGATAACGATCAATATGCATTTGGGAGTGACAGTGACCTTCCAAAAGGTTATAGAGCTGAGATTAGAGTTCTTTGCCCTGGGATTATGTGCTTGGTTGTTCCTAGCACAAACTGGAGTTCTAATAACCATAAGCTGGAGTTCTAGAAACATTTTATATCTATATATCCTTTTCTTTTATTATTATTAATTAATGTATAAGATTAGATTACTTGATACTTTGGAAGGCAGAGACTTTTCATCTAGCCTGATCTAAATCAAGCATATATTCTGAATTTTCCAGAACAGTTACATTGTAAATATTATAGATCTTTTGTCAAAAAAATGAATATGCTCCAGTTTTAGATTTGGCAAATACAGCCAATGTAGATAAAGCAAAATAAGTTGGCAGTGATATGAGCTATCTCACAGGAATCACAATATCTAGGGCATTTCAGAGCATAAATTAGGATTGAGGTCATGGAAGTCAGAATCCAGATGATAAGGGATGGGTATCAAGGGATAAGGGATAAGCAAAAGGGATAAGAAAGTAGACATGATTTCCTTACACTGATTTAGGGTGGTGGTCAAGAAGATTAGCTCTGCTACCAGACTGTATGGGTTCAAATCAGTTTTGCTACATACTAGATAAGTGACCTAAGGCAAGCCACTTAAGTTTTCTGAGCCTCAGCTTCTTCATATGTAAGACAAAGATAATAATAGTACCTACCTCATAAGGTTGTTATAAATACAAAATGAGCTGATAAACTGACAGTGCTTAGCTCAGTGTCTGGCATTCGGTCAGTATTCAGGAAATGTTGGCTATCGTTACATTTGCATGGTCCTTCACAATTTATAAAGTGCTTCCATATATATTACCCTGTGCAATTCTCACAATCACCCTGAGTGATCACCACTGTTTTAAAATGAGGAGAAAGAAGTAGAGAGAAATTAAGCAACTAACCAAAAGTCTCCTAGCAAGAAAATGAAAGGACTAGGACTGGAGCTTAAGTACGACCAAGATTCTCATTTATCATAGCTGCCATATCTGAAATCATGCATGTTGGAGGTGAGGTAGAGGAGGAAAAAGATTTGTAAATGGCAAAGGAGGAGTCATAGATTAGTCTAGGGCCAGCTCAGAAGAGCTTCCTACAGATTCTGTCCCTTTTTTTTTCATGCTTTCCTTTTTCTTATTTAATTTTTTTATAGCTCAAAGAGATATATGAATTGAATCTTAAGCAACCTATCCCCTTGATCATTGAGAAAAAGCAGATACCTGCCTCTACCAAACCTGTTCAACAGCCATTGCCAGACTTACTAATGATAGAAGATGACACAAAATCTGACATGTTGAAGAAATTTAGGTATGTGTTAGAAAGACTGACACTAAACTTTGTTTGGATGATATATGGGACCTAATTTTGTTTTCCCTGCCCAAGGGCTTCCTCTTTCCCACAATTATGATATGGTGCAGTGGAGAGTTTAAGAGAGTATTAGCTAATGGCAACAAGTTTGTTTACATATATTTCTACTTTAATATTTAATATCTGATTGTGAGTTCCTTTAAAGAAGATGAAGCTGACTCTTCCTTACCAAGAAATATTTTATGAATGTGTAATAAAGAAACTTAGAAGCATTAATCCCTCTTTTTCCTTCTTTTTTTTTTAAAAAGACAGAAGCTGGGCCGGGCGCAGTGGCTCACGCCCGTAATCCTAGCACTCTGGGAGGCCAAGGAGGGCAGATTGCTTGAGGTCAGGAGTTCGAAACCAGCTTGAGCAAGAGTGAGACTATCTCTACTATAAATAGAAAGAAATTAATTGGCCAACTAATATATATAGAAAAAATTAGCTGGGCATGGTGGCGCATGCCTGTAGTCCCAGCTACCCGGGAGGCTGAGGCAGAAGGATCACTCGAGCCCAGGAGTTTGAGGTTGCTGTGAGCTAGGCTGATGCCATGGCACTCACTCTAGCCTGGGCAACAAAGTGAGACTCTGTCTTAAAATAAAATAAAATAAAATAAAATAAAAAATGGGTTACTAGGTGAAGTCATGGAAATGCAGCTTTGGTAACTATTTCAGCAAATTCTGCTTTTTCAGCCATCTGTCCATCAAAATGGGTATAGTTAATGCTCCTCAGTGCCACTGAGGGCATTATAGGAAAAGTTGGTGATGAAGAGAAGAGGGAAGAATAAGACTCATATATTTTGATTGGCCATGGTGCTCAGAAGGATTTAGTGCTTCTAAGTCATTCTCTCTGATTCTGTAGGCAACAAGAAGACCAGATGGAGGCCATGTGGAATATTGATATTTCTGTTTCAAGCTACCCAATAGAAGAGAAGACATCAATGCATTCACTCTGGGCCCAGCTGGGTGGATACCCAGATATTCCTAGGCTGCTTCAGTTAGATATTCAGTCTACCTTCAGAAAATCTCTTGCATCCATTCAATCACAGTAAGTTATGGACTGGGAGCACTCTGGTAATTTGGCCTTTGGTCATATATCTTTTGTTTCCCTAACTTGACTTTCTTCTGCAGCACCAGGGAGTCACCAAAAGTAATGTTTGGTATGAGGTTAGACTCACACCAGTCATAAAATAGTACAGGTAAGTTCAACATTAGTCTGTTTTTAATGTTTCTATCATAGGCCTATAGATGTCACCACTGAATAAATGTGAAAAAAATTTAAAAAAAAACCAGTTATACCACCACCATGAACCTAATATAACACCAGAAAAGTCCACTTTTAATTCCATCCTTAGGGATCAGTTATTGGAAGTATCAGAAAGATCACTGCAGAATGTTTTTGTCTACATTATGGTTCAGTGACATAACCTTAAATAGAGTTGCCATATGTAGACCCAATTTCAGATAAATTAGGTGTTTATGTCCTAGAATACACGGAAGAGACTTAGAGAGACCAGGTAAGGTAATCTAGTGGTTATACATTTCCAAATTCTGTTGAACCAGATTCTTACTTAAACCATTGGAAATTATCCCAGTGGAGGGAAAGAGCTTTGGATTCTACATTACCTCTTCAGGTCAGAGATAATTTAATGTTCTAAACCAAGAATTTAGAAAATTGAACTTTTTTTTTTTTTTTTTTTTTTTTTTTTGGAGACAGAGTCTCACTTTGTTGCCCAGGCTAGAGTGAGTGCCGTGGCGTCAGCCTAGCTCACAGCAACCTCAAACTCCTGGGCTCGAGTGATCCTTCTGCCTCAGCCTCCCGGGTAGCTGGGACTACAGGCATGCGCCACCATGCCCGGCTAATTTTTTATATATATATCAGTTGGCCAATTAATTTCTTTCTATTTATAGTAGAGACGGGGTCTCGCTCTTGCTCAGGCTGGTTTCTAACTCCTGACCTTGAGCAATCCGCCCGCCTCGGCCTCCCAAGAGCTAGGATTACAGGCGTGAGCCACAGCGCCCGGCCAGAAAATTGAACTTTTGTTAACTTGAAAGAGGTCACAGGAGCAGTCATTTATTTTGGTGAAATCCAAGTCCTGAAGTAAAAAGTGGTGTTAACTCACAAATTTGTTCAGGTGGCAGACACTATAGAGTAAGACATTTAAAATTCTATAGTACAGCAAAATAATAGCAAAAATATTACTATATAATATATACAATATAAAATCATATACCATGAGCACATGTGTTCATGAAAAAAAGTCATCAAACCAATTTTAACCATTAAGTTGAATAAGGGCTGGGAATGATGGATGGCTCATGCCTGTAAACTCTGCACTTTGGGAGGCTGAGGCATGAGGATTGCTTGAGGCCAGGAGTTCCAAAGCCAGCCTGGGCAACATAGGGAAATCTTATCTCTACAAAAAATAAAAAATATTAACCAGGTATGGTGGTGTATGCCTGTTGTCCCAACTACTGAGCAGGCTAAGGTGGGAGGATTGCTTGAGCCCTGGAATTTGAGACTGCAGTGAGTTAAGATTGGGCCACAGCTCCAGCCCCAGGCAACAGAGCAAGACCCTGTCATAAAAATTAAAAAAAAATCTGTACTTGATGTACTAGGTGAAAGGAACTCCAGTAAATAGGCCTTTAGTGGTGTGGTGGTAAGGTATGGAGGAGGGGAAGCACTCTATAGTCCTGTGACTAAGTCTCAGTCTTTTGATTAGCTGTGTCCCTGGACTGTGAACTTCACCAGCACTTCCTGTTTGTTTTTTTTTTTTCCTCCTCTTGGATGGGACAGGATGGCTACAGGAAGCAAGATTGAGTATTTCCCTCTCCCAGGGAGATTAGGCTCTGGTAAAAAAAAAAAAAATTCTCTCTCTTTTTTTCTCTTTTTTTGGCCACACTGTAGAAGTAAAGAAAAGAAGAAAGAAAAAAGTTTCTCCTAAGGGAAGGCCTTGTTAAGAACAGAATGCTTGAGTTATCTCATTTGATTGTTCACAGTTAGTTACAGATCGAACTCCTTGTTCTACTACTTTTCCTCCCTCCTCACTACTGCACGTGACTAGTCTTTAAAAAAAAAAAAAAAAAAAAAGAACAGAATGCTTAGCTGGGCATGGTGGCCTGTTCCTGTAGTCCCAGCTACTCAGGAGGCTGAGGCAAGAGGATCACTTTGAGCCCAGGAGTTTGAGGTTGCAGTGAGCTATGATGACATCACTGCACTCTACCCAGGGTGATTGAGTGAGACTGTCTCAAAAAAAAAAAAAGAAATGAACAGAATGCTCTGGCATACTTCAAAATAGTTTCCTTCTCCATCTCCCTGACAGAGCACAAGAGATCTTTCTCCAATCTTCTCTGTAAGGACCTGGGAGAGCCCCTAGAAGTAAAACTCACAAACGTGTGCTCACCCCCCATGAATGGGTTCTCTTGAAGTTTTTCCTCAAACTTGTCTACACTGAGCCTCCAGCAATTCATCAATTAAAGTTCAGGTTTCCCTACCCCAGCACTGGTGTCCCTTGAGGTTTCTTCTTGTGGGTTTCTGCTCTATTAAGTTGTGATTCTCTGTATCCACCTGTCTGTCTCTCCAATTTGGGGGGCAGTGATTTGCCCTATAACCTCACTTCTCTATTGGATCTAAGAGGAGTTATTGATTTTTCCATTTTTCAGTTTTTTACTTGTTAGGATAGAGTGGCTTCTATGCACTTATTTTTTGGTTGCAAAAACAAGTTTATATTGGGCATGTTTTAAAACCTGCATTATTTTTCACTTAACAGTACATCTTTGAATTTTTTCTATGCTAATAAACAGACTTACAATGTCATTTTATTGATTGCATGATATTCATTGCATAGATATAATTTATTGAACTGTTCTACCTATGAAAATTTGGATATTTTCCAACATTACAAAAAATGCTGCACCAAACACCCTTGTACAACTTTGTATATTCATATAATTATTTCTCTATGAAAATTCCTTTAAAATAATATTTAGTTTTTTCCAATTACAAAAGTAATGTGTGTTCACTGTAGAAAATTTAGAACATAAAGGCAAATCTATCCCCAGAAATAGCAACCATTGTCAATATTTAACTTTAGGTATAAGGATATTATCTAATAAGTAATAAGCTATTGCCAAGCCCTGTTCTTCTGATTTTGGTCCCAGGAGACATTCTGCCTCTTTTATGTGATTTTTGTAGATATGAATTATATATTTATTTTACTAGTTTACCTTTGAGTTCTGGAGGTGCTTTTTATTTTCTCTATGACTCACCTATATTCCCACAAATGTGTTTAAAGCAATTTATAATAACATTACTTTTCTTATCTCATTTCCAGGTTTAAGAATATTCCCAAGTGACTGAAAAATTAAATACAAGCATGTTGAAAGTAAATTTTGTTATATTTCAATAAAATGTCTATTTTGCTTTTTTTCATGTGTACATCTATTGCTTTGTCTATTCTTTGCTTTTATACTCTGCCTGTAGTTCTTCAGGTTGAACATCTTCATTTCCAGACTACTATTATGACCAATCAAGAAAGAATATCTTGGCCAGGTATGGTGGCTCATGCCTGTAACCCTAGCACTCTGGGAGGTCGAGGTGGGAGAATCGCTCAAGGTCAGGAGTTCAAAACCAGCCTGAGCAAGAGTGAGACCCCATCTCTACTAAAGATAGAAAGAAATTAATTGGCCAACTAAAAACATATGGCTAGAAAAAACTAGCCAGGCATGGCGGCGCGTGCCTGTAGTCCCAGCTACTCAGGAGGCTGATGGAGAAGGATTGCTTGAGCCCAGGAGTTTGAGGTTGCTGTGAGCTAGGCTGATGCCATGGCACTATATCCTGGGCAACAGAGTGAGACTCAGTCTCAAAAAAAAAAAAAAATCTTCTGCTCTGGGGCTGGGCATGGTAGCTCACGCCCATAATCCTAGCAAGGAGGGAGAATTGCTTGAGGCTAGGAGTTCAAGACCAATCTGAACAAGAGTGAGACCCCGTCTCTACAAAAAACATAAAAATCAGCCAGACATGGTGGTGCTCACCTATAGTCCCATCTACTTGGTAGGCTGAGGTAGGAGGATGGCTTGACCCCCGGAGTTTGAGGTTGTTGCGAGCTTATGATGATGCTACTGCACTCTACCCTAGATCCTGTCTCAAAAAAAAAAAGTGGGGGGGGGGGAGAAAGAAAAGAAAAGAAAGGAAGGGAGGGACAACAATAATAAAAATATATAGCAGATGGAAGTGGAAATTATGACAGTCATATAATAAGAGTTCTACAAGAACAGAAAAAATTTAGAGAGAAGCTAATATGAATCAGAATGATATTGGGCTTCTCAAGAGTGATATTAGAAGCAGGAAAATAATAAGGTAATACTTTCAAAATATTGAAAGAAGAAACTTTGACTCTAAAGTTTATTTAGCTAAGCTATCATTTAAATGTAAGGATACAACTCTGGGAGGCCGAGGAGGGAGGATCGCTCAAGGGCAGGAGTTCAAAACCAGCTTGAGTAAGAGCAAGACCTCGTCTCTACTATAAATTAATTGCCCAACTAAAAATATATAGAAAAAATTAGCCGGGCATGGTAGCCGCATGCCTGTAGTCCACTACCGGAGGCTGAGGCAAGAGGATCACTTGAGACCAGGAGTTTGAGGTTGCTGTGAGCTAAGCTGACGCCATGGCACTCTACCCGGGGTAAAGAGTGAGACTCTGTCTCAAAAAAAAAAAAGTAAGGATACAATAAATATATTCTCAGACCTTCGAGGTCTCAGTGGATTATCATAAAGATCCTGTTTGAAAATACTCTTGGCTGGGCGCGGTGGCTCATGCCTGTAATCCTAGCACTCTGGGAGGCCGAGGCGGGCAGATAGCTTGAGGTCAGGAGTTTGAAACCAGCCTGAGCAAAGCGAGACCCCGCCTCTACTATAAATAGAAAAAAATAAATTGGCCAACTTAAAAAACATACAAGACACAGATTGCTTGTTTAACCAAGTGTCCTAAAGCATGTACTTGAATTATATCATTATTTTTATATTCGAAAACTATGCAGCTTAATTCTAAAAATTATTAAACATATACCACTGTTAAAAAAAAAAATACAGAAAAAAACTTAGGG